AAAAGACAGAAACTGGCAAAGAATGGCATCAGCAAGGGGACAAATTTAAGAATGTAGCTTTTTTCCTGAAGGCACTCTCCAGTTCATGTATTGCATAGGGCATCAGAGAGCCTGAGTCTTTACAGGATGTAGGTGTCAGAGGACAGGGAAGAGCAGCTAGAAAGGGGAAGATCATGGAGGGAGCCACAGAAGGAAATGAGCTCTAAAACCTGCACATAAATTATGTCCAAATCTTTGGCTATTAGACCTATATATGTGCAGGAGAGATCTCAGTGGGCAGCAAAACAGTAACAGTATGTATCAGCAAGCTGAAAGATCTGAACAGAGAATATTGCTGTTGCCTGTTGCAGTGGAGACAGTGTTTGGTATTTGAGCCTAGCCAACTCCTGAAAATAGGAAAAATTTGAATAATTACACAAAAATAACTGGCCAAAACTGTCATTTAGTATTAGCATTTTGAACAATAACATAACTATAATAAATAGGTTTATCTTATGTACTGGTTATTTTATTGCTAGTAAATAAATTCTACTAAATGGTCATGTCTTTAAAAAAATGACTATGTCCTTTAAATAGCTGCTATAATATCATATATTTTAATATCTTATTTAATATCAGTATTATACAGGAATAGCCTACTTCAATGGCACAGCAGTACCACATTTTAACATGCATTCTGTAAAAGGTACTAAATATGTTCCTGTGATTATCTGCTTTGTGGTCTCTTGAAATCCAAACTTGTATTCCAGTATCTGTATTTTAATCTAAAGTGAATAGTAACACATAATTGATATGATTTATATTCTTTTTTTCATTTCAGGTCAATGAATACATTTTTGATAATTTATCTAATAATCCTTATTTCTGAAGCCATCATCAGTACTATCTTGAAATATACATGGCAAGCTGAAGAAAAATGGGATGAACCTTGGTATAACCAAAAAACAGAACATCAGAGAAATAGTAGTAAGGTATTTTATGGTGTTCTTGACTGTGCTGCTGTAAAGGAAACTTCTGATAGGAGTGATCACTCTGACCTTCCTAAAACCAGTACTATTGAAGAATGACAAAGGACATTGCACACCTGAAGCCAATACAAAATACTGAAAGTAAACTGTAATTGAAAAATAAAAAAAAATCGCAGTAGTTGACTGAAAAAAAAAAAGGACATTGCAAATGAAGAGTAGCCAACCTGTTTGTAAACATGACATGACCAATTATATTTTCTATGTAATTATTTGAATAGTTATAAGAGAGCACAAAAATTTAAATAGTCTGTATTGGCATTTCACTTGAATACTACAAATTCAATTTTCTTTTAATATATCTTTATTGATTTCAGAGAGAGAAAGGCGGGAGAGAGATAGAAACGTCAATGATGAGAGAGTCAATGATCAGCTGCCTCCTGCACGCACTGACTGGGGATCGAGCCCGCAACCCGGGCATGTGCCCTGACCGGGAGTCGAATCCCGATCTCCTGGATCCTAGGTTGATGCTCAGCTGCTGAGCCACGCTAACTGGGCTACAAATTCAATTTTTTATTTTTGTATAAGTGAAATTATTTTCAATTCTGTCATAATAATTCAAGAAATCGTATTGTCGGTCTGTTGATGGTATAAAGTAGTAATAACAAACTGGCTAGGGCGAATCTGTAATTTTAAGAGCTTTCAATTCTAACACTTCTAGCCTAGCAATTATTTCATAATTTTTAAAAATTATAGTCAATTTTTAGTTATCTCTTATTTTGAAGATTAGAAGTAGAATGGTAAGCATATTCCAGAGGTTATAATTAAAATTTTGCCAACAACAGTTTCAGCCACACCAGTCTTTTTGGTAGCTTCTGAAAAGTAACAAATTAAGTAATTTGAATTTAACCTTTTTTTCCTTATACTTTGTCTGAGAGTCTAATGAGCAGTAAAACTACCAAGGAAATGTATCAAAAAGACAATTCAATAAATGAATTTTAATTCATGAAACTATTCTGCTTCAAAATATAATGATCTATTTAGACATGAAACTTTCTGATCATTTTCTACAGTAATATTGAAGATAGTCTCATATTTTCATTTATCAAATAATCATTTTTTTCCTCTAGATTCTGAGATTTATTTCAGACTTCCTTGCCTTTTTGGTACTCTACAATTTCATCATTCCAATTTCATTATATGTGACAGTAGAAATGCAGAAATTTCTTGGATCATTTTTTATTGGTTGGGATCTTGATCTCTATCATGAAGAATCAGATCAGAAAGCACAAGTCAATACTTCTGACCTGAATGAAGAGCTTGGACAGGTAAGTGATCCTTTTAATTTATTTTCCCGAATTGTTATTTTTATCGAAACAATATATGTACAAAGACTAATAAAACAGGAAATATTATAAGGCTTTTACCAAAAAACAGCCCTACTTTGCTCCACACCTAATTTTGTTTTCCATTTTTAAATTTTAAAGCTATTTCTTTCATTATTTAGTACCATATTTCTATATAGTATTCTTTCTTGATTTTTACATTATAGACATTATTTACTATGGAATAGAAAGATAAAACTCTTAGACTCTTCCTTCCACACACATACCCAGACATACCCATTTTGCTTCCCCATAGGTCCCCCAATATTGTTACATCACAAGTTAGGATTTAATAAATATTTATTGACATTATTTTGACTGTTTTAGTATTGCTCACTGATTTCTGGTTCTTTGTGTATGCCCTGTAATGCTATAATTACTTTTTCTTTCTTATGTATTTTGTTTTCCCTAGAGCTAATTGCTCTGTTTTTTCATTTGCTTTATTTTAATTTCCACAAAATTAGGTGTGGAGCAAAGTAGGGCTGATTTTTGGTAAAAGCCTTATAATATTTTCTGTTTTATTAGTCTTTGTATATGTATGGTTTAGATAAAAATAAGTCCACAAGTAATTCTTTGAGGACTGTGAAACCTCTCTATATATAGACACATCATGTAGTCTAGGATTTTCTCTCTTTTAGTGGCAGCTTTTTTGGAAACCTTTATCTTTGTTTCAGTTTGGATTTCTTTCTGGGCCTACTGCTCGGCTAGCTGTCACCCTGGATTTCCCTTTACCATCACCCTAGAACTGCCTTTGCTTCTCCTGTTTTGGATCTGCTGTCTCCTGGCTCTCATGTCTTCCCACCTGTGGCTTATTCTCATTTTGGTGGAACGTATCTAATAACTTCCTGAAAAAGAATTCACGAGAGGAAAATATTTTGAGACTGCATGTCTGGAAATATCTTTATTCCCTTTCTACACTTGAATAATTGTTTAGCTGGATAATGTATCCCAGGTTGGGAATTATTTTCCCTCAAAATTTCAAAATCATTTTTCTGTTGTTTTCTAGCTTCCAATGTTGCTGTTGAAAAATCTAGTGCCATCCTGATTCCCAGTTCTTTATTTATTTCTGAAAATGTTTAGAATCTCTTCTTTATGCAGGAATGCTGAAATTTTATGATGATGAACCTTGGTATGAGCCTCTTTTTCTTTCATTATGCAGTGAACTCTGAGCCCTTTCTGTCTGGAAACATATGTTCTTCAGTTCTGGGAATTTTTTCTTCTATTATTTCTTTGATAACATCTTTTTATGGGTTTAAAAAAAATTATTTGCATATCAAGCAAATTTATCTTGCTTCTCTAATTTATCTTGATTCTCTAATTCTGACTTGCAATTTTCATTTACTTGTTTATTTTTATAATCTTTCTAGGAGAATTCATCAACTTGATCTTTCCACCTTTTGATAAATTTTTGTTTTTTGTGTGTGTGTGTGTATATATATATATAATATACCTTATTTTATGTATGTTTTTAATCCTCATCTGAGGATATTTTTTTCATTCATTTTCAGAGAGAGTGGGAGAGTGATACATTGACTGGTTGCCTCCCGCATGTGCCCAAGCCTGCAACCAAGGTGCATGCCCTTGACCAGAATCAAACCCGAGACCCTTCAGTCCGAGGGCCAAGGCTCTAACCACTGAGCAAAACTGGCTAGAGTTTGTTGTATATTTTTAATTTCTAATATTTCAGTATATATGAATGGTCTTATTTTAACTGCATCTTACTCCTGTTTCTTGAATATAATTTATTATTTTACCTTTCTGAGGATATTAATGACAGTTTATTTAAAGTCTTTCGCTCCCTGCATTTTCTGTTTGCTCCTAGTTCCTTTTTCAGTACAGTCAGTTCTGCTATAATACAACATATGCATTCCTGAAAATCACTGCGCTAGGCAAAATTGCTTAGTAAAAACCCCAGGGCTTAAGGAAAAATGGGATTTAGGAGTACAACAAAAATTTTGTAACATATTTAAAATACAAAGATAAGAACCTAATAAAAATACCACTTACTAAATTGATAAGAAATACATTAATGCTATAGTAAAAACATGGCACTTTATCTTGAAAAATGCCGGAAGGTTACTTGTGGAAGTTACCATCAGAAGTATTTCAGCCTGTGTGTTGTGAAGTATTGGAAGGAAGGTTGCCTGAGAATAGGAAAGTAGTAACACCACATGTGGATGGGTGTGGCTCATAACATACAATGACCCGAGGTAGCTCGTAGCTTTAGAAGTGTGTGCATTTCATGTACATATTCCTGCTCTGCTTGGGTGCAGAAGTTTTCTTCGTTCACCTACTGTTTCTCACAGATGGAATCATGCGGAACCAAATACAAAGTTCCCGTTATGCTCAAATTGTTCCCTTATATATCAATCTCATTGTAATAAATTAATTTATGTTTTCAAGACAGTGTTCCAGCAAAACTGACTGTAATTTGTTTTAGACTCTACGTTTTATATAAGGGGTGATCCTCAAATGAATGCTAACCTTTGGTTTTCTTTACAAATGTAAAAGATTTCCCTAGAAAAGCCTGGCAGCCCAGCTGTTTTGGGGAATATTCCCAAATATCAGTATAGCTCTTTCCTCAGCTTTCCCTGAAGAATTACTGCAGTTAGCATTTCTGCTGCTTATGATTTTTGGAGCCATCCAGTAGAAATTTCCCTGTTTTTAGTGGACTGCCTCACCTGTTTTCAGCGGTCTTGTGCCTTTTTCAGCTTTCTGCAGAGTTCAGATTCTCTCTAGTTCAACCCCCTTAGGGAATTAAACCTTCCATCTATTGCTTTGATGGATGAGAGGCAGTTTCCAGTTTTCAAATTATGAAGGAATTTCAGTATTCAAACTGTACCTGATACCACCATTTTCAGCCCCATCCTGTACTCCGACATTCAATGATAGCTGTACATCTACTTCCAGAGAGTTTCTGGGAAACGGGTTCCCCCGTTGCTTAGGTTTCATATTCTAAGTTCTGCTAAGTCACCAGAAATTCATCTTTCCATCTTCTAAACTTGTCAAATATCCCTTCTCATGTTGTCTTTTCTACCATTATTTTTGTGTATTTTTTTACTCCTTTATTATTTTGGTGAAGTTTCAAGAGAAACAGAGATAATTGCATTTGTTCAACCTGCTTTTTTTTTTTAATCCTCACTTGAGGATATGTCTTCATCAATTTGAGAGAGAGAGAGAGAGGTTGCCTCCCGCAGGCACTCCTATCAGGGCCAGGATTGAACCTGCAACCCAGGTACATGCTCTTGACTGGGAATCGAACCCATGACTTTGGTATGTTTACCTCTAACCACTGAGCGACACCAGCCAGGATGATCCATTTATTTTTAGAAGCATTTAGGAGGCTTTAATAATTTATGCTACAAGCGCTGGTGAGGGTGTGGAGAAAAGGGCACCCTGGTGCACTGCTGGTGGGAATGCAGACTGGTGCAGCCACTATGGAAAACAGTGTGGAGTTTCCTCAGAAGATTAAAAATTGACCTGCCATTTGACCCAGTGATCCCACTTCCAGGAGTATATCCTAAGGAACCCGAAACACCAATCACAGAGAACTTATATGCCCTGTGTTCATAGCAGCTCAACTTACAATAGCTAAGATCTGGAAACAGCCCAGGTGCCCATCAGTAGATGAGTGGATAAAAAAGCTGTGGGGCACTCACACCATGGAATACTACGCAGCTATAAAAAAAGAAGGATCTTTTATCCTTTGGACAGCATGGAGGGAACTAGAAAGTATTATACTAAGTGAAATAAGCCAGTCAGAGAAAGACAAGTACCACATGATCTCACTTATATGTGGAACATAATAAATAAAATAAACTGATGGACAAAATGGATCCAGAGACTTAGAAGCTTGGAACAGACTGAGGGATCTCAGAGGGAAGGTGGGGAGTGGGGAGTGGGTGGGGAGAGATTAACCAAAGAACTTATATGTTTATAAGCATAACCCATGGACACAGACACTGGTCTGGGGAAAGCCTGGGTGGGGGGTGTGGATGCAGGGTGGCGGGGATCAATGGGGATAAAAAGGGGACATCTGTAATATTTTTAATAAGGATTAAAATAATAATGCTAAATATTAATTCATATCATATCTTTAATTCTGTATCACATATTCAAGACCTAAAAACAGCCTATTTTTACTGCGTCTCTTAGCGCATTTTCCCTTTGACCTTTCTATTCCAATTTTCTACTCTTCCTCTTTCCTTCATGAAAGAGTATTATTTTCATGGAAACCCACACTATGTATACATACCCACATTTGCTTTTTCTTTAAGAAACTTTAAGTGATAATTAACTTTCTTTCATTATCTCAACCTCTCTTTTTACATTTAAGCCTGCAAGTATTTCAGATATGTTTATTGCTTCCATTTCTATTCGATTTTTGTATTAATATGAAATCTACTTTATTTTACATTCTTCCATGTCCTTTATTTCCTTTCTATCAAAGAAATTTCCACCAAAGTTAAAAGATTAAACATTTGATTTTATATATTTTTTAAACAAAGTTAATTTATTTTATTCATCCCTGTTATAATTTTAATTCTCAAGAATCCTCCATGACAGATAGGTCTCTGTCTACTCTAGTCATCTTCGGAGTGTTGTTTGCTTGACTGGTGATGTATTTTATATCATTATATTTGTTAATACCTCATTCTCATTCTTCCTAGTCTAAAAGTTTTTTTTTAACTTATATAAATAAGTGATATCTCTTAATATCCACCTTTAAATTATAATTCAACATTTACTGTAGATAAGTGGGCAACCCTTAGTATCACACAGCAAAGATAAAGTGTGTTATCTTTTCATTTCCAGTTTCACTATTTGCTAGTTATTTGATGTGGTAAGTTACTTAATCTTACTCTCCTTTATTTTCTCTAAAATATTCATAATAATAACACTTCATGGAGTTGTTCAGCGGCATTAGAACACTTAGCAATGCTTGGGAAATAGTGAGTGTTGTACAGTTACTGGCTTTTATTACATTACATAGCAGAATTCCTGAGTCTCAGGTATTGTGTTTATCTTTATTATTTCCAAAAATATGAACTTTGAGGTACAGTTTGTCATGTATCTTTATGTCTTGGTCAAAACAATTTTGTTGCAACTTTAATCTACCTCCCTTGTTATATATTGATCTTTTTACTCTGCAGTTTTGCCGAACTCACTTATTAGTTCTAGTAGTTTTAGTGAATTCCATGACCTATATACAAGGTCACATTACCTGCAAATGGAGATAGTTTTACCTCTTCTTTTCCAAATAAATACCTTTTGTTTCTTTTCTGTTACCTAATAATGCTGGCTAGAACCTTCAGTACAGTGTTGAATAAAAGTCGCAAGAGCAGAGATCTTTGTCTTATTCCTGAACTTGGAGAGGAAGCATTCAGTCTTTCTCCATTAAGTCTGATGCTACCTATGGGTATTTGTAGATACATTTTATCGGTTTGAGGAATACCCTTCTATTCATAATTTGTTGTGGGTTTTTAATCATGAAAGGGTATTTGATTTTGTCAAATGCTTTTTCTACGTCTATGGAGACGATTATTTTATTTGTAGAATAAAGGACAAGTACCATTTTATTATTATGGTGGGTTTCACTGATGTTGAACCAGCCTTGCATTCCAAGGATAAAGTTCACATGTTCATGGTATATAATCCTTTTTATATGTTTCTGGATTTGTTTTGTGTCTATTTTCACATGGGATATTGGTCTGTAGTTTTTTTCTTCCCTTGTGATAGCCACCTCCTATTTTAAATGACTTCTTTCTCAAATCATTGCAATAAGCAAATTCTCACCATAATCCTAGTTGTATCAAGACTTGACTATTTCATTCTTTTTTGGACCTACCTTCTTTTAGGGTTAATTTTCTAGAATTAGTCTCAAAGAGTACTAAAACTATTTGTCTTATCTACCTTTAAAAAAAAAAAAGTATTTATTGATTTCAGAGAGAGGGGGGAGAGAGATAGAAACATCAATGATAAGTCATTGGTCAGTTCCCTCCTGCACGCCCCCTACTGGGGATTGAGCCCATTCTCCTGGGTCATAGGTCCATACTCAACCGCTGAGCTGCGCTGGCCAGGCTGTCTTACCTACTTTTTAAAACGTTTTTAAACATTTCTCCTTTTTACTGAGTTTGTTTCCTGCCCTCAGTTTCAATGTCCTCTATTTTAAACAACTTTCCACCTCTGACTTTTTGTGTTGCTGTCATTTTGTGTTCCTCTATTTTCAGCTCTATACCATTTCTCTTGGACCCTTTCATGTTAATTAAGCATCCCTTCCATCCTTGCTCAGAGATCACTCTTTTATTTTTTATTTTATTTTTTAAAATTGATTTAAGAGAGAGAGAGACATCAATTTGTTGTTCCACTCGTTTGTGCATTCATTGGTTGATTCTTGTATGTGCCCTGACCAGGGATCAAACCCACAACCTTGATGTGTTGGGATGACGCTCTAACCAACTGAGCTACCTGGCCGGGGCTCAGAGGTCATTCTTGAGTCTTATTAAAAAACATCTTATCCAGGAGATAAAAAGCAGTACTACCACATTGTCAGTCAACTCCACAAATGAACATGCACCTAAAGATGCCACAAACTTCAAAATGTATATATTTTTAAATATTTTCTGTTACCCTGTTTTTTTCCATGGCATCTTTAATTATTTAACTGTGCTTCAATTGTAAGAATCAGCATCAATATATCAATTTTAATGGTAGATTTGACTTGAGACAGAGTCCAGCTTTCCTTCTTTAACATAGGACTATGAACACAAAGGTTTGTTTTCTTTTGTTTTCTATCTCTAGGTGGAATATGTGTTTACAGATAAAACTGGCACACTGACAGAAAACGAGATGCAGTTTCGGGAATGTTCAATTAATGGCATAAAATACCAAGAAATCAATGGTAGACTTGTATCTGAAGGACCAACACCAGACTCTTCAGAGGGAAACTTAAGTTATCTTAGTAGTTTATCGCATCTTAACAACTTACCCCATCTTGCATCCAGTTCTTTTAGAACCAGTCTTGAAAATGAAACTGAACTAGTAAGCAAATCTTAAATTTATAATAAATAGGAGTTTCTTTTGAAATAGCTATATTTGTGTTAGTGGGGTAAGAAAAATATGTGTTTGAAATGTATATCCTCTGATTTAATACTGAAAATTTAGAGTCATAACCCAGTTTAACTTGTCACTTAATGTGTGTTTGCATTAGTTCTCTTGGTATGTAAATAGAACTAAGTTAAAGTCCTACTGCCTTGAAGTAAAGAAGACTTTTCTGAGAGATAGTTTTAATTTATTTAATACTTTCTGAGACCTCACTTCTTCCATAACAGAGGTTTCACCTTTACTTGCAATTTGGTTATGCCTCCTAAAAAGTTGAAGGGCCATAAGCAAATGTGACAATTTTACTCTTTAAAGTCAGAAGCAACCAGCTGTTGTTTAGGCGATTCAGGATTGTAGCATTCTTATTCTAGAACTTAGGTTACTGAATTATGAACTGTATTTATTTGCATTTTTTTAGAATTCTGTTTCTGGTCTCCTAAAGGTTATTTGGGGATGGTATTTATAGTGTGAATATTCATTATGTATCTACAGATTAAAGAACATGATCTCTTCTTTAAAGCAGTCAGTCTCTGCCACACTGTACAGATTAGTAATGTTCAGACTGATGGCATTGGTGACGGTCCCTGGCAGTCCAGCCTTGCGCCCTCCCAGTTGGAGTACTATGCATCTTCACCAGATGAAAAGGCTCTAGTGGAAGCTGCTGCAAGGTTAGTTTAGTCTGACTTCCAAATCATCAGGAAAAAAACCTTTTAAATAAAAATGTGGAAATACTAGAATATTGAATTGTCAGACAAAATTCATAAGCACATAAAGATAGAAATGTATTTTAAATTTTTAATGAGAATTTGAAATGTGTCATTACTTTTGTTAAGCTTGCAATAGAGTCATATTTTGATGTGATCTCTAAAAATCTGGTTACTATGAAGTATGAATAATATAATTTGTGGGAATGCATGTGTATGTGTTGTTTTGGACCTACTCTGATCCTTCAAGTTCTTAAAAATAATGCTATATTCAAAGGAAATATTTTAAAATCCATCTTAAACTTATGTTTTAAATATTTTTACTCAAGCTAAGTTATAATGACATATTATGAAAAATGAAATATCATTCCTTAAATTTTATTTATTATTTTCTCCTTTTAATCCCTAGGATTGGCGTTGTATTTATTGGCAATTCCGAAGAAACTATGGAAGTTAAAATACTTGGAAAACTGGAACGGTAATTTTTTTCTATATTGTAATTTTCTATATATCAAGCATTTAGTATAGAACAGATATAAGTAAATTGTGGCCTAGAGGCCAGATCTGGCCTATAGCCTGTTTATCTACAGCCCACAAACTACATTGCATTTTTAAGGGGTTGTTTAAAAAAAGTAAGATGCAACATAGACCATATATGTCATACAAAACCTAAAATATTTACTATCTGGCCCTTTACAGGAAAAGTTTACTGACCCAGCTCTAAAATGGTATTATTACATTATGTATCATCACAGTAATAACAATATTCTGCTCTGAATCTTTCATGTGTATTTTAGCTTAATGGTTCTTGAATTTATACGTTTATTTTTACACACTCCTAGGGAAATGAGTTTCATAAGTTTCTTATGCTAACAAAGAAAAACTTTCTTATATTTTCTGATTTTATCTTTTAAACATTAAGGACCAGCTATCTTATTTCCCCTGTATGATAAATTAGCCCATTCTTATTATAGTTAGATCTTTCATGGTTTTATCAATTCCAGTCATCTCAACTCCAGCTGTGCATTTTCAAACTATGTTTTTCCAAACAAAGTAGAACTTTTTGGCTGCTTTTATGTGGAAGCCTGTCTAGTCTAGCTCATTCTATCAGCTTATATAAACCATTCCAATCAGTGTTTATCTCTCATATGGGCAAAGCATTGCATATGTACATCATTGTATATATTCATCCAGAAGACTTTTCAGTCCACCACTGACCCATTCTTTTACAGCTGCTTAAAGAGGAGCTATGAACACCTATACATATGTTCTGTCCCAGGTTCAGAATCACTGCTATAGTGAGGCTTTGTTACTCATGTGAGTGTGTGTATTTCTCAGGTGTGTTTGAGCAGAAAAATGGGTTGAGAATCACTTTTTTTAGTGAGAAAAACATGGAGCTGGGCAGATCTGGATTCCATTCTTTGCTCTACCACTCACAAGCTTATTTGACTTTAGACAAATTACTTAATCTTTCTGAGTTTAATAGTCCTCATTTGTAAAAAGAGATAAGATCTATCTCCTTTGGTTCTCATGAGTATTAAAGGCCATATGATATGTAAAGTTACATGGCATTTAATAAATACTCAGTAAATGCTAATTCCTTCTTTTTCTATCATATGTTGTTAGTAAATGACTCATAACCAATAGTCTTAAAAATGTAGTTGAGATTAACTTTTTGTTCTAAATTAATCATTTTTATCTTTTATAGGGGATCTTTTAAAATATTTACTTAATATTATTCAAAAACGTAAAGTTTCGTCTTTTTTTATTTCGTTAGGTATAAACTGCTTCATATTCTGGAATTTGATTCAGATCGTAGGAGAATGAGTGTAATTGTTCAGGCACCTTCAGGTAACCAACTTAAATGTCTATGAATTTTTATTTGTCTAATATTAAGAGCTTAATAACTCATTTTTCTTTTTAGGTGAGAAGTTTTTATTTGCTAAAGGAGCTGAATCATCAATTCTCCCTAAGTGTATAGGTGGAGAAATAGAAAAAACCAGAATTCATGTAGATGAATTTGCTTTGGTGAGTGCAAATTTCTATAATTTAAAAACTCTGAAAGATATATAGATATAGATACACATATATTTGAAAGACTTGGGGGTTTCATTTTTGCATCAGTTTATCAGAAATTATAGAATTAAGTGTTGGCTCCATATTTTTTGGTTAAAAATTGACTTTCAGCCTATTGAAATGTGAACCTAGTATAATCAGGGCACTTCTAGCTGCAAGGACCACTCAAATTACTACATTAAAATGAGGGGAGGGTTACTGAAAGAATACAGGGGAATCCCAAGGATATGGAGAAACTGGAACCTTCATACATTGGTGGGAATATAAGTGATACAGCCACTTTAGAAAATAGTTGGGCAGTTTTTCACTCCTAGGTATACACCCAAGGGAATTGTAAACATATGTCTATACAAAAACCTTTACACAACTGTTCTCAGCAGCATTACTTCTAATAGCCAAAAAAAATGGGAACACCCAAATGTCCATCAGCTGATGAATGGATTAAACAATGTGTCATATCCATATAATGGACTATTTGGCCACTGAAAGAAATGAAGTACTGGTATATCCTACATCATGGATGAACCTTGAAAAGATTATGCTAAGTGCAAGAAGCTAGTCAAAAAAAGGCCACAGAGTCTATTCATATGAAAGATCCAAAATAAGCAAATTCATAGTGGTTGCCATAGCCTGGAGGAATGAGGGAAAGGGTAGTGTCTTCTAATGGATATGAGATTCCTTTGGGTGTGATGAAATGTTCTAGAATTAAATACTAAAAATAATTACACAACTCTTTGAATTCAGTAAAAATTACTAAATTATTATTTTTAAAAGAGTGAATTTTATTTGTAATTGATTTTTGGTAAAGGGGCCCTCAGTTTTATTTCAGTGACTTCTTGATTCCCCATTTGTTACTTTTGTTTAATTTTTCTCCTTAATTTTTCTGTTTTAGAAAGGGCTAAGAACTCTGTGCATGGCCTATAGACATTTGACATCTAAAGAGTATGAGGTAATAGATAGACGCCTATTTGAAGCCAGGACTGCCTTGCAACAACGGGAAGAGAAATTGGCAAATGCCTTCCAATTCATAGAGAAAGACCTGATATTACTTGGAGCTACTGCAGTAGAAGACAAGTAAGTATCTGATAAATAGGCAATATCTTTTTTCTCTCACAAGAATTTTTTTTAGCCAAATATTTCTAATTTATGACATATATTTCATTTGTTAATGTCCTATAATAAAATCAAAATCAAGAGTTAAAGCCTTTTTCCCAGTTAATATGTATACTTTTTCTTCTAGCCAGGTATCTGAAATAGTTGAAAGAATCCAGCTATAATTTTGGCCATAGACTTAAATTTTTAGGATACTCTGCAGTGTGTGCCATACAAAGACTTAAGCACCTGCTTAGTTCTCTAACCTCACCACCCATCATTGCATCCTTCCACTTTATACTTCAGTAGTACCAAGCTGTCTGTAGTTCTCCTCTGAACAACAACTGTAGTTAAAACTATTCTATTTTTTGGCTTTGTTCCTCCACAAGGTTATGCCTTCTGTCTGATTGTTCTTCCCTTACCCATTTGCGAATACTTAATTATAAAGTATAGTTAAGATATTGCCGCAATCCAGTAAGACCTTTCCTTACTTCTAACAGTATTTTAAAAGCTCTTTTTGTGAAATCTCCATGTTTTGTAGGTCTGTGTTGTCCTTATGGCTGTATAGTATAATTATTTGTTTAAAGACTTTTCTCTGTTAGCCTGTGAATTCCTTGTCTTTGTTCATTCTTTGTCTTTGTTCCCAACATCATTCTCAATGTGTGTTTCAGTTTCTTGAGTTAAATTGAAATCTATGAATTAAGTTGAATTCTACAAATTAATTATATATTTTTCTCTACCACTTAGATCTATGGGTGTTTGCATTTTTTTTAAATCTAGGTTTTCATTTACTTTTCAGTTGTCCTCATGAAATTTCTGAGACTCAGCTGAGGTTATGTAGTCCTTTATTTTCCACAGTCTAATTTTTGAACTGCTGATAGGAGAGATTTCCATATCAAAAAAAGGAAAATCTTAATTTGAAGTTTAAGACTTTCTAATAAAATAGTTTATGTAGGCCATATACTTAATTTGGTTCTATAAAAATCAACTTTGAAAATATACTCCTAAAATACGAGGTTGTAGATTTTATGTTAACCAGATGATCACTGATTTGGTTGTTCTTGTTCCATGGGAACAATTTGGGAAACAATTTGTTATTTTACTGAGCTGAATGTTACTATAATATTTCTAGGTCAAGAAGTCCAGAATTTACCTTACTTATACTCTGTGATTTTTACTTAAAAGACAGTCAGAAAAGTATTTGAACTGTTAATTTTGTTTCTTTTATTTTCAGACTGCAAGATAAAGTTCGAGAAACTATCGAAGCATTGAGAATGGCTGGTATCAAAGTATGGGTACTTACTGGAGATAAACATGAAACAGCTGTTAGTGTGAGTTTATCATGTGGACATTTTCACAGAACCATGAATATCCTTGAACTTATAAACCAGAAATCAGACAGCGAATGTGCTGAACAGTTGAGGCAGCTTGCCAGAAGGTAAGAATATAATTATCTGGGTCATAGAGTTGACGGGTAAGCAGACTATGGCCCACTTTATAGCCCATGAACTCAAAATAATTTTTATATTGTTTGATGGATGAAAAAAAAATCCAAAGAATAATATTTCATGTTGTGAAAATTATATGAAATTCATATTTTGGTGCCTCTGAATAAAGTTTTATTGGAACACAGCCACATTCATTTATTTACATATCAGTGAAGGCTTTTGCGCTGTAGCAGCACAGCTGAGTAGTTGTAACAGAGACCTTATGAAGCACTTTTATCATTTCTCACTGCTGCTTGATACACTTCAAGTCACAGTGATAATTATAACTCCATACATATTGTTGTGTGACATTTTACTTTTTTTTTTCCTCAACCCTCACCCAAGGATATGTGTGTTTCCATTGATTTTTAGAGGGGGGCAGTGAGAGAGAGAGACAGACAGACAGACACATCATTGTGAGAGAAACATCAGTCAGTTGCCTCCCATACATTCGAACCCGAAACCTAGGTATGTGCCCTGACTGGGAATTGAACCCACAGCCTTTCAGTGTACAGAACAACACTCCAACCAACTGAGCCCCCCGGCCAGGGCTTACTATATTTTAATTCTCATCATCTCCAAACAAGAAAAATAGACTTTTAATATCACACTTTTAAAGCACAGTAGAGTGTTGATTATTTTATCAAATTAGATGCAGCACAATACTACTTTGAGTGCTGGCCTTCAACAACATATTAAAGTGTCACTGAAAAATAGATACCCTGCTTGCACCAGAATGGAAATCTGTGTACTACTTCTTTTACCAAGAAAATCTTTATGAATGGGGAATAGGGAGAAACACAAAATAGTGTGCTCAGAACAGTTATGATTCCTTCATTCCTTTGCTTCCTACTTATACATAATTTAGCTCAAGAATTTCCCCGAATATTTTTTATTTAATTTTTTTAAATTAAGATTTACTAAATATAACTAATAACGATTTTATTTTTGTAAGACTGTATACTCACAATTTGGGATAATACATACTCAGGTATATGTTACAATTCACATTTAGAAAATATAGTTACTGTATCTATGGATCAGTTCATTGTAAAATTGAATGTTATCTCTTTTACACCATATCAGTCATACTCAGTTCTACTTAATCTTAACTTCAGATAATACAATTTAGTTTGTTTCCTGACATATTAGTTTTGTGTGTTTTTTGTTTTGTTTTGATCTTCACCCGAGGACATTTTTTCCATTGCTTTTCAGAGAGAGAGAGAGAAACAATCGATGTGACAGAGACACATCAATTGGTTGCCTCCCCAACTCACCCCACCAGGGCTGGGGATTGATCCTGCAACCAAGGTACGTGCCCTTGGCCGGAATTGAACCTGGGACCCTTCAGTCCAAGGGCCGACTCTTTAAACACTGAGCCAAACTGGCTAGGGCGACATATCAGTTTTGTAATAGTAAAGTCTGTAGATGAATGGTCCATCTTTCAGTAAGAACCTTGTTTACTAAATGATTGTAAATTAATATGACTTTAAAGTATTTACAGAGGATATAATTATTTCTGTTTTAGAATTACAGAGGATCATGTGATTCAGCATGGGCTGGTGGTGGATGGCACCAGTCTATCTCTTGCACTCAGGGAGCATGAAAAACTATTTATGGATGTTTGCAGAAATTGTTCAGCTGTATTGTGCTGTCGTATGGCACCACTGCAGAAAGCCAAGGTATGTTTGGGTTATAAAAAGTTCCATAAAGATACATAGATCTAAAAGTATTCTTTAAGGTTAATGACTTAACTAGTTCCATTTGGTGGCACGCAGTGTATGAATCTTACTAGGAGTCAGTCATTTCTCATATTACGAATTTTAACCATGGAATTTTCAGAGTGAATATAAAAGTTTCAACTATTATAATAACCTAGAAAGTCTGTGATGGGTAGCAATTTGTGATTTTCAGGAGACACAAATTTTAAATGTAATAACTAAAGTTTCCCAAGTTACTTCCTTACCTACTGAGGGAGCCTGTAAGACTTCAGTTCACATGCACCTTCAGGTGGTTCTGTTAATCTCTGCTTATTCTTGCATTCTCGTGAAGTGATAATTCTCTTCATTAAAAATGGCTATTAAGTAATAAATAGAACTTTAGTGAGAAGTTGAAAAGCCAATTAACTTGTGATATAAAGTTATATACAGAAAATATTTAAATTTCAGCTGTGATTCAAGTGAAAGCCTATACAAATATTTTTTATAACTCCAAATTTATAATTTGAGGTCTTAGACAGTATCCTTTACAAACAGTATCCTTTGAAATGGACATCTAAACACTGATTTTTTTCACATATAGGTCTAATAAATTAGACATTCAATATTTTTTGGCTTCATGGAATTTTCTTACGATGCCTGTGTTATTAGAATTCATGTCCCATCAGTCTATGGAGACTAAAACTGGAGACCAAACAGAGCTAATGCCTAGGTTCTTTATAAAGGTACATTCAAGAATTTCAAAGAAACATTTTTTTAAATTTCATTGAATTTAATTTTGATTGCTTTTTAAAATTTTTTAGTTTTATTACATGAGGAAATAATTCTCTTTATATCAAATGAAAATAATTTCTTAAGAAAAAAATTTTGACTGACAAAGTTCAAATAGGTGTAATTTTTTTTTAAAATATATCTTTATTGATTTCAGAGAGAGGAAAGGAGAGGGAGAGAGAGAGATAGAAACATCAATGATGAGAAAGTCGGTGATTGAGCCCACAACCCAGGCATGTGCCCTGACTGGGAATCGAACCCCGATCGCCTGGATCCTATGTCGACGCTCAACCACTGAGCCATGCCCAGCCGGGCTAGGTGTAATTATTTTTTACACAGTTATTATTTAAGCTTTTTACAAATTTAAGCTGTATTTAAAGATTCTTGCTTCCCATAATAAAATCCAAGATAATACTGTTTTGTAATGTCATTTCTGAAAGACATTTCTAGCACCCTAGTAGAGACATCCCTCAAAGAATGAACCCCAGAGCATATTATTATCTAACATAAAATAATTTTTTTTCTACTTCCTTCAACAGAGTCATTTCTTAAAAATGAGTTTACATATAAATATAAGAAAGTTGAAATTTTATCATAAGTAATTATAGTTGTATGTTTTTCAGGTAATACGACTGATAAAAATCTCACCTGAGAAACCTATAACATTGGCTGTTGGTGATGGTGCTAATGATGTAAGCATGATACAAGAAGCGCATGTTGGCATAGGTGATTGATTTTATTTCTCCCCTGAGCTTTTAATGTTGGTATAATTATTTGGGGATTTTGAATTTTCCTTTTGTAGACTAAAGTGCAATATCAAATACATGAATGAAAACTAAATGAAACATGGTAATATATAACAGTGTATCCCCATCAGAAGCCTATTATAATTAGCCCAGTATTACAAATATTTTAATTCCAAATTTTCAAGGACATGAATACCATAACAAAGTAACTTTATTTTTACGTGTCCTTTTATACCTTTTAAAGTACTTTCATACATTATTTTATACCTTTTAAACTCTAAATTTGTGATTTACATAATTGCATTCATGGTTTTAAATTCTTGTTTTAGAATGTTATTGTTATTTATTTGTCAATATAAAGATTCTGCAACTCATTTTAAAGACAATTTTAGAGACAGAAAATCATACCAAACTGTAATAAAATATAGAATTCCAAATAGTCTTCTGATTTAATAACCTTTATCCTAATTTTTTTCTTTTTTTGCCTAGAATTTTTATTGGATTCAGAACACTAATATATTATTTATATTTAAGTTATCAATCATTTCCTATTTAAACCATAATCTGACTTGTTTTTCTCAATAACTATATTATACAAATACAAAAATAAAGAGAAAAATATGGTTCTTCATTAAAGGATAAATTTTTAGAGTTAGAAAAGAGTTTAGCTAGTCCTGTTTTGGAGTCATCTGTGTAATATCCTGTGAGGAATAGTTATTGGGTCTAATGTTTCTACTGTATCTCTCAAATCAACTCTTGAGGATAATTAAATCATTTTGAAAACTTAATTTTCTTTCCAGTTTGTATATTGTTGTTTCCCATAAATCTTCCTAAAATATTCGATATCTTCCTATACCATATATTAAAGCATAAAAAGTTACAGTATTTATAACAGTTTGAGTCTAGTATAGGTAACAGAAATACCAGTGTATAGAATAGATTTAAATATAAGTAGGGAAACAAAGTACTTGATTAAAAATACTGATAGAACTTGTTAAAGACCATAAAAAGTAATAAAAGAAAAATTTAATGAATAATCCTGCATTTTGAGATATAAAAGGGCCTTTTTAAGTACAAAACCAAACGAAGCAAGGGAAAGATCAGTATGTGTGGCAGAAGTAAATACTGCCCCCAAACAATTTTAGAGACAGATTAGTAAAGAATATTTGCAAAATAGATGACAAAGTCTTAATATTTCTAGTATGTGAAGTCTTAAAAAATTAAGGAGAATAAAGAAAAACATTATAATAGAAATATGAAGAATGTGAACCATCAGTTGTCACAAAAGGAGAAATCTAAAATGAATATTAAATGCATGAATAAAAGTATTCAGTCTTACTAATAATCAAAATAATGCAAGTTTAAATTGCCTGTCAGAGTGATAAAAATTACAAAGATTGGTAAAATTTGGAATTGGTGAAGGTACAGATTAATAAATGCTCTTATTCAATATTAATGGGAGTCAAAATTGTAAATGTTTGCCTGTTGACCTGGCAATCAAGCATCTAGAACTTCTTTGAAGAAAATATGTGAATATGTTGAGAAAGACATACTTTATAAACAGTGTCCATAGTAGTATATTAAGGAACAAAAGTTGATTACAAAACAATTCCATTTTTATACACTTATATGTATTAAATAAACACACATACACAATATGTGGAAGGAAAAATTCTAAAAGGATATATGACAAAAATAGTGGGGGTTTTCTAGGTGCTATGAATATAGTTGATTGTCTTTACCTATATACTTTGAAACATTTTGATCCTTTTATGACAAAAATTAAAAATTTTAATTTTGAAACATAGTTTTTCAAAGCTGCTTCCAGATTTTAAAAGTTAATTTGGCAGTAACTCTTTTGAAACCTAAAAGATTATTATAACCTAAAAAGTGTACTCATATTTATCAGATAAAATTAAGTACTGTTTTCGGATGATATTGTACTTTTCTTTAAAAGCACATTTTGTTTGAGTTATGCATAAAAATTTTAAAGCAGTCAAACATGCTCGTTTTTGGTAGGTTCAAATTACTCAGTTTGGATATTTTTTATGTTCAGTGAAGTTAAAGCTGTTTTATAGCATCCTCTCCATGAGAAATCTGTTAACTAGTACTTTGAGCTTATTGTAATTTATGTTCTTATTACATCCTGGACTTTCAGTATTATTTTTATATTAATTTTATATTATATTCTAAACCTTTGAAAATTGATGTTACATGCCTGGTATATATTGTAGCTTTATATTAATTACCTATTGATTTAGAACCGGAATCTGTTATCTGCTATATATTAGGATATGGCGATCCTAAGTCCAAGTTCAACTGCTATAATTAACATATTCACAGATACATCACGAAAATTATACTTACCAATTATCAATGAATTTGCCTTTTTGTCCCCTTTATTATAGGAATCATGGGTAAAGAAGGAAGACAAGCTGCAAGAAACAGTGACTATGCAATAGCTAGATTTAAATTTCTCTCCAAGTTGCTCTTTGTTCATGGTCATTTTTATTATATTAGAATAGCTACCCTTGTACAGTATTTTTTTTATAAGGTAAGTTTCATGGAGATATTTTAGAATCAGTTATTGATAGTAATTTGAGGCTTCAATTTAAGGACTACTTTATTATGATACAAATTATTCTTAGAAACTGTTTCCATAAGTAAAAATAACAGTTTATGGAATGTACTTTTATTATTAGTCATGAATCTAATGTGTACTGACAGAAAGCAAATCAGGGATTGCCTGATGCCAAGGGCGCAGGTTACAGAATTGACTAGAGAACTTGGCATGATAGAAAAGTTATCTAGTTTGTGGTGGTGATTACAAAGGTGTATAAATTTTTCAAAACACATAAAACAATTTACACTTAAAATTGATACATTTTATTCTATGCAAATTAGAACTCAATTTTATGTCTTTGATGTTATTTTAGTTTGAATCAGTAATAAGTTTAATTTAACTTCAATATGATGGTTTCAAGCAGAGGTTCTAAATCCTTTTGTGCCATGAATGACCATTTGGTAGTCTAGTGAGATGTATAAATTACTCAGTATAGGGCTTTTAAATGCATAAAATAAAATACATAGGATTACAGAGAAACTAATTATGTTGAAGTACTGCTCTGTCTCTTGACCCTTTTGAGGAAGGTGGGATTCTGTGGAGCTCATGTAAAGAGCCGCTGAGTACCAAGACATTTAATACACCAGCATGTCCTATATTGTATATATACCTATAATTAATAGCTGCAAGCCAATGAAAGAACACAGGTAGATTGCATATTGCTAATAAATGATGGTGACAGTTTTTCTTTCCAGCTGCTTATTATAGCTTTGCTCTGACATAAGTATATTGAAATCAAAAGATGTGTGGTAGTTCCACTTACTTCATTTTAGATATTTTAGCATTATAAAGCTACTGATAGCCCTAAAGTTGAAGTAAAACTTGTTGTACTGTATATGAAAAGTATTGAATAATAATTGGAAAGTGTAAATTCAAAATTATGGTATTGCTTGGTAATGATACGAGTCAAGGGTATTTTATTCTGACATTTGCAGTGCTGAGTAGAATATTTTCAGACATTTTCTAATAAAATGGGAGTTCTGTTTTCCCATTTTATATGGACAAATTCTTATGGGCAGATTTTCTGTTTTCTATATCAGCTGAAATTGTGTTTCTGGACTCATTAGCCATTTAAAAAAAATTTTCTTTTAGACCTAAATATTTTAATTATTTCCATTTAATCTTGTTTTTCAGAATGTGTGCTTTATCACACCCCAGTTTTTATATCAGTTCTACTGTTTGTTTTCTCAACAAGTAAGTAAATAGAAGCTTTTGTTTTATACTTTTAGAATAAAGTATGTGTGTTCGGTGTTTGATAGATCCTTGGAGGGAATTTTTTGTAGTCCTGCTGATAATTAGATAAAATTTTCTAATTAGCATATTTAATCAGTATAACAGTCATAATATTTATTTATTCTGATTTTTAGTTTGAAGTGGGTGTTAAATATATTTTAATTCTGGATTTTTTAAATGGATTTAACTTTTAACAGCTTAAGAGAGAATTTTATAACTTTTTTCAACTTATGTGTAATATTTCTATAAAATCCATATCAAGCCAGGCCAGAAAACTATTGTGAGACTACCTCTTTTTTTTTCACTCATAAAATTTTTTTAGATTTGGAAGGAACCTTAGTGTTAGACACCGGGGATGACATACAGGTTTTAATCTCAGAAGCTAACTCAATAATTGGTCGGAACTACTAGGAGTGCTATATTGAAAGGAATTCTGCAGCTATAGTCTCAGAGAGCACATGTATACACATATCACATATTTCCCATTCCTGACCTACTCTATCTTACATTATAAAAAAGGAAATTGAAATACATAGAGACTCGGTAACTCACCCAAGATCTCACAGCTAAGTTAATAACTAAACCATACTTGGACATAACTGCTTCTGACTGACTGAGCACCCTCTTCACATACCACACTATACATCTCTAATTGATCAAGACATTTGTTCAAATTTATTGAAATAACAAGAGCTTAATTATTTTAGGTTTTTGAGTTTTATTCTATCCTTGCTCACTGTTTTCTCCTCTGTTTACAATCTGTAACTCCATATTCTAAATATCTGCTTAGGCGTTGATTGCCTATAACAGTGTTTGCTTGCTTGAATGGAATAAAGAATAAAGAGCATATGACAAGGAGAGCTAACTTATTTTGATTAAGTTTTCAGGGAGTTTACAGTATAATTAAAGATAGAGTATTAATAAAAACAGAATGTGAAGCGTAGACAAAGTGCCAAGCAAACTAGTACCAACAGTAGCACGTATGACTGTTTAGAAGAGGAAGTTATCATAAATGTGTGAAGTTTCATGAATCATGCTTTAAAGGAAGTGTAGGACTTGGATGCAAACACAGAACCATGAAAGCAAAACTTAATGTGTAGCATATCAAAGGAATAGTGAAAAATCTGGAAGCATATAAGAGAATTGTGTAAAATTACATCACAGTGACCGAATTGTGGAGAATCTTGAAATGTAGGTCCAATTCACTATACTTCCAGTATTATTTGACATAACAAAACATTCTAATTCCCACAAAGAATATAAATCTGTGAACATTATATGTGTATGCTTATGTCAAAAACAAATTGAGATTATTAAAATGGATTTTTGTATAAATTGAAAAAACTACATAATTTTATGCTTATTTTTAATATGCTTCTGTTTTTATATGCATAAGTAATAATAATACATAGTTTAGAATCTCAAAATTTCTACCAATTTCTCTTTCTAGACATTGTATGACAGCGTGTACCTGACTTTATACAATATTTGTTTTACTTCTCTGCCTATTCTGATATATAGTCTACTGGAACAGCATATAGACCCTCATGTATTACAGAACAAGCCCACCCTCTATCGGTAAGAATTTTCCAGTATTAAATGTCCATAACATTTCTGATTGCAAGTAGTATATTATATAGTTATCTGTTTTTAGAAGTACTTTAAAAATAAGCAAATATATTAGGTAGTGTATGGTTTATAATTGTTGAATACAATAATGTTTCTACTGTTTTTAGGAATGAACACTTTCATCCTACTAATGCATTGGGCAATTGTATAATTTGGATTTACTCTTGTAAACTGGTAATATTCCATTTCATGTACACAAATGAAGTTATTCAGTAATTGGTTGTCTCTAGAGTTTCTAAAAAAGTAGTTTATGTCCTGGCATTGCCAAATTTATGAGTAGTAATCAATGTAAAATGTAGGGTTAGGGACATTAATTCTTGTCTCATATTTTCTGCTTTAATCCTGGTTCCACAGAACCAAGTAATCACAAAGATGTAGAACCATTCCTCAGGATCAGTTTATGATTTCCACATTAACCTGACCTCCACTCTTATAGAGGTATTCAGTTATCCAGAAATGGCAATAACTTAACCTTGATTTCCGAGGATATCTAGGACTGGGCTTGACCCAAGATTGGCAAAGACTGTTCTTCTCATGATAGATATTGATGGAAATGATGTTGATTGGGAGCCTCAGTGCTGAACCTAACTCAAATGGCTCCACTAAAAAGAATAATCATGGAAGAGTGACTGAATGTTTATACCAGAATATAATACAGATAAATCAACTTTTCCAATTAAACTAAAGCATTATGCCTATATCATATTTTTTTATCAAATGAGAAAATAAGTTTGTAGTATGTGAGCTATAAATTGTTACACAGGAGTATGATATTATTACAAGTAGTGGTTTGTAAATTGGTGGTTATTCTTTCTGCCAGTATTTTCAGATAATTTTAAAAAATCTATCTGTTTTATAATTATGAAATTGTAATGATTATTGAGTAGGTAAAAAATGAGTCCTAATATGTTCCTTTTTCTCCTCTTTTTTAAAAAATTTACAGAGATATTAGTAAAAACCGTCAACTAAGCATTAAAACTTTTCTTTATTGGACCATCCTGGGTTTCAGTCATGCCTTTATTTTCTTTTTTGGATCCTATTTTCTAATGGGGAAAGATATATCTCTGCTTGGAAATGGCCAGGTAAAATATATATTTTTTTGTAATTGTTAATGGTTGGATTTAATTTGGTTTTTGATAACTTTGTGTTATAAAACATAAAAGTGAAGTTCAATTTAAATTATAAAATTGCAGATATTAAATTAAAATTCAATTATAAAAAGGTTTTAACCTTTTTTATTTAATAAAATTTTATACAAATCAAAATTAAAACAAAAAGGAAATACAATGTAATCTTAATATGAAACTCAAGGTACAGGGCAGTTTTACCATTCAAAAATGAATTAATACAAGGGTGTATGTTCATGTCCCTGCATGCTTTTCACTTCAGAATTGTTTTTAATAATAGCTACTGTTTTTTAGTGCTTGCTTTTGTGCTAAGTGCTTTACATGCCCCATATCCATTAATCCTCACAATAACCCCTTTGGAGAGGGATTATGACCCACCATTTTTAGATGAGAAATGAGGATTTGGTGTTAAGTTTTTTACTTTTAATTGCATGAATTATTTTTTTGGTATGCTTAGGAAGCACTACAGAGTTTTTTCCCCTTCCTGATGTCTGTTCTCCACACAGCAGCTCACATGATCTTTTAAAAATGAAAATATGATCATCTGTCTAATCTGCTCAAAATCATCTAGTGTTCCTACTATAAGCCACACTGATTTTCTTGTTACTTGAGCATACCAATTTGTTCCTATCTTAGGACCTCTGCACTTCCTGTTTCTCTACGTAGATGCTTTTCTCTCACATGGTCCTATGACTGACTCCCTTATTCATTCAGGTCGGCTGAAACATCACTGGCTCAGGAAGGCCTTTCCAGCACATTCCTGTAAAAACCCATCTCTCTCACCTTTTGTCACTTACTGGCCCCTTACTGTACACTTACTTTTCTTCATAGCACTAATCTCTCCCTCAAGGTTTATTTATCTGTCTCCTCCAATAGGTGTAAGCTCTATGAGGTCAGCAACTTTATCTTATCATTGCTTTATCCCCAAGGCCTAGAATGGTACGTGGTATGTAATAGATGCTCAGTTACTATTTGCAGAGTATACAAATGAATAATGAATGATCCTTTTTAATTTGGAATACAAGTTTGACTTTATTAGTTAGGTAACAAATTCAGTTAGAAGAAGTAATCCAGAAAACAGGCAGATTAGTGATTGAAAGTGTTTTGAGCATGTCTCATCTGAGCTGGGGCAGAGCTGGAGTTAGCATAGTTTAAACATACACATTTTGTCAGGCTTTCTTTAAGATTAAAAAAAACACCATACAATTGCCCTGGCCAGTGTTGCTAACTGGTTAGAGCAGCGGCCCTCGCATCCAAGGGTCAAGGGTTTAATTCCCAGTCAAGGGCACGTACCTGGGTTGCAGGTTCGATCCCCAGCCTCAGTTGGAGCATCTGTGGGAGGCAACCAACCCATGTATCTGTCTCTGTCTCTCTCTCTCTCCCCCCCCTTTTCCCCCCCTCTTCCCCTCCTTCTCTCCCTTCCTCCCTTCTACTCTCTTTAAAAATCAATAGAAATAATATCCTCAGGTGAGGATTAACAAAAAAAACATACAACTGTAAGTACAAGCTTAAGTATACAAGAAAATAACTGAGTGATATAAATAGGTCCCACTTAACCGAAGCCAGTATAATAAGCCCAACTCAGCTTCTTTTAGCCAGATCCCCAAAATATCCTCTGCCACTCACTTCATCACCAACTCAAAGGGAAGTCAGATTGGAAAGAGACAGTAGTCTTAACTAATCAATCGCAGTTATAAAACATTATTTTTGCTAATTTTACACACACACACATGACAATGTGAATGTGTTCCTACAGCTCCCTCTTTGAATGCAAGAGGAAGCCCTAAATAAGCTCTGCTTCTAAGAAAGATTCCATGTAACTAGCCCCAATCTGGGTCCTGTAGAACCAGATACTGAGGGGTGGGTGATAAGACATGTGCAGTTGTTACCACATCCAGGCACAAGTTCCCTGCCTGCATCTAAAACCTGTCCATATAGCCCTGAAAGAGGAGACTGGCACTCTTCCCAGAGCTGAGTAGAGTGAGACCCACTGATTTTCAGTATTTCCAGGTTATTTCTAGAGATGATAAAAGCAGAAAAAGAAGGAGGGGCTCAATATGCCTTTTTTCATTCTTCTGACAAATTCCTCAAATACCCTTAAATAAAAAAAACATTAATTGATATTTTATTGTTGACGATAACTTACTGATTGCTTTTTATCTATCAGGCACCCTGTCTTTTTGCATACTGTAATGCTTATAAAAACCTAAAAGATTTTCCCCACTTTACAAATGAAAAAAGTGAGATACAGAGATGTTAAGTAATTTGTCAAGTAAATGCTAATTGTTAGAAATCTGTGATAATAAAACAGCCTCTTAAATAATTTTTAAACCAGCGGTAAAGACTATGACTACTTTATGAACTGAGTTAACATAAACTTCTGATTGTGTTCTTATTGTGGAACTTAATAAACTGTGTAAGTTTTTGCTGTGAAGCCCAGGGGAATACCTTCTGACTAGTATTAACACCATTTTTATAAGGAATCCTTTGAGGAGTAATTCTGTTGACCATTAACTTTCAGATATTGGTTGTGTAATTTTGTTTTTCCTGCTCTGCCTGTGCTGTATCCAGAAATACAGTGGCAAGTTACTTGCTGTATCTTCTGGTTGGAAGGGTTGCAAAAAATAACTGTGATTGAACAGGGTTTTGTTATTTTTACTGTGGGACAGGAATAAAGCACTATATCATTCTAAATAAAAACAATCTGTGCCTCACAATTCCAAACCCATCTTGGGTTTCCAGTCTGATAGTGTTATGCAGTGGATAATAATAATGAACATAGTAATGCTTATAGTATTTCTTCTCATACTCCTTTAACTTTACTAATCTAGTCACAGATTTCAGTTGTAACTGGCTAAAATAATGCAAGTGATTTTTAGTAAAGAATGATGTTACTTTCTGCCTTATCTCTGACAGCATCATGGTGACACATAATGCAATAAGGGTTTATTCTTTCTCTTTAGATGTTTGGAAACTGGACATTTGGCACCTTGGTCTTCACAGTCATGGTTATTACCGTCACAGTAAAGGTATAGTACAGAAATTAGACACATGAACACATTTTGTATCTGTATAATTCATGGTTAAATTTCTTTAGCTATAGATGGATATTTTTCCCTTTTCCTACTTTAGTCATACTGATTGCTATTTAATAATTCATTTTCATTTTCATCAAAAATCTTTTTTAAGTTCATTATTTCAGAAAGCCTCTTGTTGATTTTTATGGTTAAATAAAGGTTAACACCTTCCTGGCCGGTGTGGTTCAGCAGTTGCGCGTCGACCTATGATCCAGGAGATGGCAGTTCGATTCCCGGACAGGGCACATGCCCGGGTTGCGGGCTCGATCCCCAGTCAGGGATGTGCAGGAGGCAGCCGATCAGTGACCCTCTCATCATTGATGTTTCTCTCTCTCTCCCTCTCCCTTCCTCTCTGAAATCAATAAAGACATATTTTTTAAAAAAACATTAACTCCACAGTTACTCATCTCTGAAATTTTGCATCTCTGTATGTAATGTAAGACAACACAAGTTGTTTCAGGCAATAAAGTTGAAAATAAAGTACTCATGAAAAATAAAGTACTCATGAAATTTCAATGCTTTTTATCCTAGAGATTAAAATAAAGACTTATTTTATATTAAGGATTTAAAAAAATTTTTTTTTTTTTAGATGGCTTTGGAAACTCATTTTTGGACCTGGATCAATCATCTTGTTACCTGGGGATCTATTATATTCTATTTTGTATTTTCTTTGTTTTATGGAGGGATTCTCTGGTGAGTGACTATATTATGTTTTAATTATATTGATTCTGCTCATAAATACAGGGGTGGGCAAACATAGGAGTTATTAGTATGGAAAATAATACAATAATTAATAATGGAAGAATAAACTGTTTTGTGTATACTCACAACTGTAAACCTACTTTTGCCCCACTCTGGTATTTATTGTGATAGATTTTATTATGAACAAATAATTTTGAGATACTATCCTGATAATAAGCATACGTCTTTCAGTTGCTCTTACTGATACAGAGTGAAAAAGAAACTAACAATTACTGAATACTGTGTTTTGTGTGTTTTACCTAAGATATGACATTGATTCATCACAATAATCTTATTGTCTCCATATTTTCTATATGGAAACTGTGTTCTAAGATCCCAGAGGTTAAAAAGAGCAAACCTAGGATTTAAATCCCAGTTGTTTTACTCTGTAATTAATGTTCTTAACACTAACAACATTACCTCTAAATTATTTACTAATATACACAATTAAAAAGTCACATTGAGCCATTAAATTTTTGTGAATGAGTAAAGTTCTCTCTTAAAAGTAAGTAGTATGCTTCATCTTCATTGGTAAAATCATATTTTTAGCTACTATGATAAATTAAAAATTAATGCCTCTTCTAAGATTATGTATAAGTGATGGACAGCTAAAGTCTTTCATTGAGAGAATTTATATTACATTTGCCTGCTATGCCTTTGATCCCTGTATTAGGCAAAAAATTATAGAAGGTAGGCAAAAAAACTTAGGTTAGCTAAATAATTATCTTACACCTAGAAACATAAAAGGATACTCTTATGAATAATGCTTTGTTTATGTTTGTTTTTAATGTTCATCATTTTTTCATTTCTTTCTCTAATTCTCCATATTCTTTTGAAGTGATATATACCAAAACCCAAAAAGAGTATCTTGACAATACTTAACTACTATGTAGAACTAGTATTTGTGAGTGCATTTATTTTAAAATATATTCGTAAAGAAGAACATCTAAGTAGAACTTTTCAACCTAAGGTTTGGGTAATCTGTCTTTTAGTTGCTTAGTAGAGAATATTTTGTGAAATACTTTTTCTTGTGTTTCTTGGTCTCTTAAGGCTGTTTTACTACATAATTATTTTGATACCCTACTAACATAGTTATCTAGTCAACTACTTGCCACTTTCCTAATAATAGAAACTATAGTTGCCATTGAAAGTAATTAAGTTGGATTTTATTTCTAACAATTAAAATCTGTCTTGTTTTATTGGTTATTCAATTAATTACTGGTTCCAAATGTTGAATATTGTCCCAAACTTGTATTCCAAATTAAAATTGTAACCTTCGAATATAGTGGGTGTGTAAACCCACTGTTTCTGAACCCGTATGTAATCCCACGTGGTATCTTGATTTAAAAAACTGTCTTGTCAGTTTCTCTTTTTATTAAGCCCACTTTCTTTCTTTCCAGGCCATTTTCGGACTCCCAGAATATGTACTTTGTATTTTTTCAGCTCCTCTCAAGTGGTTCTGTTTGGTTTGCCATAATCCTCATGGTTGTTATATGTATGTTTCTTGATATTGTGAAGAAAGTATTTGACAGACAGCTCAATCCTACAAATACTGAAAAGGCACAGGTAATCACTTTTGTATACAAAACCTTTTATTTAGGGATCTTTAACAGTAAATAGCTGTCATTATAATTTGCTTATATCAGAAAACAGGAAATTATCCATTTCTGTAGTAAGCATTTTGCTGTATAAATATTGTTAAATACGATATTTGTAAAGTTATTTCTATTAATTGTATGACTCCTGACAAATTATAATTTTTAAAAATTACATTGTTGTTATACAATTTCAGGTTTTTAAAGGATAATACTATCATGTCCAGATAATAATAGTAAACATATTTTAAATAATATTGTCACAGCATTCTATCAGGTGTATATAAAATTGGGATATATATCCATGTCTTTAGAAACCTTAGAATTTGAATTATACTTTTTCAGGTTATATTGTTTTCAACAAAAGAGTTGAATTAGGTTAAATTAGGTTATTTAATTAGGTTAAATAAGTTCTTTAACCTAAGTTTTTAAAGAATGAATTTTTATAAAATACATTCTCTCTGAGCACTTAATAATAAATATTAAACTACAGCAAATATTAGTAGTATGTTACATAGTGTTTAAGAATTCTTTAGGGCCCTAGCCAGTTTTCTCAGTGGTTAGAGCATCAGCCCACGGACTGAAGGGTCCCAGGTTCAATTCCGGCCAAGGGCACATACCTCGGTTGCAGGCTCAATCCCCGGCCCCAGTTGGGGCGTGTGTGGGAGGCAACCAACCCGTGTGTGTGTGTCTGTCTGTCTGTCTGTCTCTCTCTCCCCCCTCACCCCCCACTCCCCTTCTAATCTCTGAAAAGCAATGGAAAAAATATCCTTGGGTGAAGATTAAAAGTAAATAAATAAAAGAAGTCTTTAGGACCTGAACTCCAGTTCAAAACCCAGGTCTACCACTTGGTAGTCCTGTGACTTTTAAGTCTCTTTCAGTATCTACATGGGTAAAATTCTGATAGAAATGTCTATTGTGTTACTTTTGTAATGAGAATTAAATAAAATAATGTCCAAACACATATTAGATGCTCAAGAAGTGGTAGCTCTTTAGTTGAATGTGCCATGTTTGTATATTTGACTTGTACATGAGCTAGAAGTCTATCTTAATTTGTCTTACTAACTATACCATAGCATTGGATCTGTATCCTCAGGAATACATTCTAATTAACTTTTACACCCCAGTAAACACTGAGTATATTATCATTTAGTTCTGCCTAGGTTCAGATTTTTTCCCCACATGTTTGCTACCTGCCAAGCAAATTTTATTTAAATTTGGAGACTTAGTTACATATTCTACAAATAGAATGTGCTCACTAAGTAGTGATTTGAGGTAGGCTTCCTAAACAGTGCATTTGTTTTCATTTCAGTTGATCATATCAGCATTTCTTTAGCCTTTATTTACTTTGGTAACTCAGTCCTAACCAATATACATTTTTAATACATAGGCTCTGAAGCAGCATAGGCTCTGAAGCCTGACAAACTTAATTCAGATACTGTTTTAACCATTTATAAAATGTATATCTTTAATCCAGTCATTTTCCTAAGCCTCAGTTTTCTCCTCTGTAAAATCAGAATAATAATTACTATCTTACATGATTCTTAGAGATAACAAATATAAAACACCTAACCCTGGGCCTGTATGTAGTAAGTCCTCAGTGAAAACATAATTAGCCTTCCATCCCCAGTCAGGGCACATACAAGAAACAACCATTGAATGCATAAATAAGTGGAACAACAAATTAATGTTTTTCTCTCTTTCTCTCCCTGTCTTTCTAATCAATTTAAAAAGCAAACAAACAAAAAAAAACAATTATAAGGATGATGAGGATGTTACTCTGTGATACTGATCTTCAAATAAGGCTAAATAATTGACATAATCTGATTACTCTATGGATATATTTTAATCAGTATAGAAAACTTTTCTACTCTGTAATATGTTATTTAAATATATATCAGAAAGGTTTACCTATCTTGTTCAATCTTAAGATATAAATATTTACAGTAACAGAATATTGTTCTTCATATTGTCTATTATATTTTTCTAGACTTTTATGGAGAACACACATTGGTCTCCCCCTCTTGGTCTATATAATGTTATATTTCACCAAAATATATTAATGACATCACTTTAAAAACTTTAGTCTTTATAAAAGTAAATAATTAGATTTATTTACATTTACCCTTAGAAATTCTGTAATAGGCAGTGCATTTGCAAAGTATGGTGTATTTTCATAGACTTTTTAATAATCACAAAAGGTGATAATATTTGTCCTTGTTATCTTTCTGATATGGTAGCCTCTTTCTATAGGATTATGTAGGAAGTATTTTGTACCTTAGGGAGGACAAGAAAATGTTAAAAGTACTTTATATAGATTGTGGTTCTTTTACCATAGGTTAAAGTTGATAAAAAATGGAATATGCAATAAATCAATCATTCTGTGTGTGAAAGCTGGTATAATCTCCCTTTTCTGTCCCACTAAATTTCCTTTTAAATGACTTGACAGGTGTTCTGTTATGGTTTAATCCAAAGAGGAAATCTCTGCTTCCACTCAGGAATCTTCTGGGCTGTTTTTTTCTTAAACAGTATATGGTCATTCCAATCCCATGTATCACATTATTCCTTTGCTGCAGGCAGTAATCTTTATTATTTCAGTCTTATACTTTTCACCTCTGAGTTCAAATAATGAATAATAATTAGAAAGTTGACAGCCATTTTATTGATTACCAAAAGTAGCAAGAAAAATCGTATCAAAAGGAAAGTTGTCAGCATTTATTTTGAACTTTTTCTCCAGAATAACTGGGTGGTGGTGGTAAGCTTGAAGAAAGCCAACAGCTCTACGAATGTCAGTCATGTATGTGTATCACGTATGATATTTCCTCCTCTTGTGAGAACAGATGTGTCTTTACAAAGCTTGTCCTGTGTCTGTCTCAGGTGGTGAGTACAGCTCACTGACTGCGTGTATGTCCCACCCCTTTCTGTCCACTTGTAGATGTACTCCAGCACAGCTGCTTTAAGTGACGAGTTCATCGCCCTGCAGCCATTGTCGAGGGCAAGGAATCAGCTGAGCAAGCTTAGGTAGAGTAGGAGTAGAACCTTGTTAACTTCTGCATGCTAAAGGTCAATTAAACAATATTTAAAAGATGGGCAGAGGCATGAATTAAGAGTGGGCCATTTTTGTTAGCACAGCTCTGTCTCTAATTTGACCTTTATTAATATGTATATAAAAACCTAAAAAAGAAAAATCTGTTTCTTCATTGAGAAGAAAATTTAGATGAAAATTGAGCATAACAGGACAGAGATCTATACCTTGTTATATATTTTACACTTCATCTTTTTTTTGTAGTACAATTCTAATGCTTCTGCTTGTCATATTTATATTTAAGAATGCTCCTGCATGTTGAGTAATTTAAGCTACCAAAATTCATCATAAAATTTAAAGTTTTAAGTTTCTGTTACTTGAAAGTGAGAGTTGCTCATTTTTTATCTTGCCTTAGTCTGCATTGTAGATTTATGTGCTTATTTGTCTTTGTACATTGTAATGGCTGCTGAAGCATTTCATGCCCTTGCTACTGTTTAGTGCATCTATAAATTGAACATATATTTTATATCTCTTATATACCTTTATGTCCACAGACAGATCCATTCTGTCAGTTACCCCAAAAACAAAACAAAACAGACAGACAAAAACATTAGTCTAGATATCTCTTTTGATGGAAGAAAGTAAAAGCTTAAATCTTAGAACCGTTGATATTAAGATACCAAAACTAACTCTAATTCCGGTCTGGTTTGAAGAGAAAATGTAATATAACTAAAATATTTGTTTAGCTTTGGCAATCTTCATTTTCTCATTCTATCAGTATTTTGTGGATTTTTAATCATATATGTATATTTTTAAGTGTTTGTTATTCTCAAAGTTTCTAATCTCTACATTCACTTGGTCAGATAAGTGGCTTTGGCAAAGCACCACCTGGCCTCTGATGGAACTGTGAGCTCATTGTTTTGAGCTGTTCTAAAGTTTTCCCAGACCTTTTGATTTTATTAGTAGCTTCAAGATTTTTGAAATATTGTACTTTGAATTGCAAAGGTGTAAGAACTATAAATAAATATACAAGTGAGTGTTTAAGTGGCAGTCAACTAAATCTTTTGTTTGAAACAAAAACTAAAATCAAACTTGAAGATTTGTCTTCACCTTTGGTTGAGCCAAATACATATATCACATTTTATCTGTATGTGCCTTTCAGAAAACAGCAGTTATTCATCACATTTTTGAACATCGAATTATTTAACTCTAAGGCAATAGGAGAGCTCATTATTTAAAGAACACTCTGTCAAACTCTTTTATCAAGTGAAGATAACTTATGCATTGAGAATAAGCATACTTTCATGAAATCATATTTTTACATATGTTGGCTTAAATCAAGCCACGCAAAAAATGAGGTAAGGAGATCATAAACTAGAGATCTCAGGCTCTATAATGATGTAACAAAATAGTAAGCTTGACATTCATATCTGTGAAAGAACACAGTGACAGCAGGCTATGTTGGTCAGGTAGCCTTTGCTGCAAGCCAGTCTCCAATCAGGTGGTCTAAGAAAGGGAGAAAGAGCCCTGTTGAGGAGACAGCGGGCCTGAATGCTAATGCTCCCCTTGGCACTGCTCCCTATATGTCCTAACCAAATTAATTCACCTCTCTGAGCCTCTATCACCTATCAAATGATCATTTTACACACTGTGATTTCTTTTCTTACTATTAGCATCAGAGAAAAACAGGTAAAAGAAATACTGTGCTCAACCAAAGGCCAGGCAGAAATAACAGTTGCTTAAATGAGCAACGAATGACCACTGGGTCAAGAACAAGTGCCCACATACATCTTCGGATGCATCCTATGATTTTTGAATACATCTTGGTTTTGAACTGCACTGAACAGTATTCCTGGGTGTGATCCGTGGTAGCTTAATTGTTTATAGAGAGGAAAATTATACAGATATCAAATATCTTTAAGAGCTTTCAAATCTTTAATCAGGGT